TTAGGAAAACTTTGTCAATTAACTCTTTTGTTATTACTGATGGTTTACGGAAATTATTTGGCAATGGGATGCATTGTGATGATTCATCAATCGATAGTTTCCCAATCACCATTCCCAGCACTTGTCTTACGAAACCATCAGCTGATACATAATTTTGTAAATATACACGCATATTTGTTAATAATAATTCAGGGATATATGTTATAATAATAATAAACAACCATCACTTCTTGACTTAGCCTATTTTCTGTCTATAGGTCTAATATATCTCTGTACCAAATTTCGTTGCAATCGGAAATCCTTTAGAAATGCATAAAGGACAAACAGACATATATATATATATATAGATAGATAGAAGATATGATTTACTTACTACATTTGTGCTATTTAATTTACTAATTAATATATTTGAAATTACTGAACTTAACCAAACCCATGTGCTAGTGTTTTCAATATCAATCTTTGTTTTGTCATCTCTTATACAATATGATATAAACGTATAATTATTTCCAACATTAGGTACTTATTAATTGGCTTATTTTTATAAGTATTTAATATGATAATTTTTTATTCGCCAGTGTTTTAGCCTAGGATGGTGTGCGAACGACGGCTGCGCATGTAAAGCCCGTGACCTGTGTGTGTACGCGTATGAACGGCGGCAAATGCGTTACACGACAGGCATATGAATACTTGCGCAAATACCAATCGATAACCCTGTAAGAAGGGGATGAGAGTGGACTGTATAAGGTTAAGGTGGTTCGAAATATAAATTAACTAATTATTAAAATAATAAAGGATGATGAGTATTAGATGACCAATGACAACAACAATGTGCATATATAATAATGACAGAACAATTTATTTTAAGACGTTCTGCAGATAAATGACTTAATGCTAGGTTTAGTATAAGTGCGCGATCACAAATCGATCGGCAAAGGTAAAAAAAAATAATACACAAACAAATGTCGAAATGAGCGTCGTAGGACGAATAATAATATTGATACAGATGATATCAATGTTTACAAAATATGATAATCGTGTGTACGACCTGATACGAAGACTGATAGCCGCTGATGATACCTGGTCGCACTGATAGTGATGGTGAAGTTGTCCTGGGACGGCGATGAACGTCGATTGGTAATAATTGAACGGGCATACGATACTCACACCAATGTCGTTCGAAACGAAACGACGAGTCGACAACACCGCCGACGGGTTGTGGCGCTCGAAAGGAGCTGGATTAGAAATCCGAAACTGGATGAGACGTTGTGTTGTCCAAGAACTACAACGATCGGCGGGTGACGATCGGTCGGGACAACCGACGTGTCTACGACACCGTCAACTTACTAAATTGCTAGGAATGAGTAGACGGGAGTCCTGGCTTGGACGTAATATGGATATAACCACGTGTTCGCGCTGCGTATGGACGGGCGGCGAAGGCACGGAATGAGACGACAATATAAAATTACAACGACCGACGGAATCGCACTGCGTATAACAATGGACGGGCGAGAAAATAACACACGGACCAATGTGGTTGATCACGGGTTGGAGCCGCGACGAGACGGCGGAATAAGACGGGCAATGTATTGAACCGTCAGTTGGCACTGGCGGCCAGAACTCGAATCGCGGGCGCGGCACTCGCGACAAGTTCAGTGAGCACGAGGGCTCGGATGCACAAGGCACAAAATAAATAAAATAAATGGCGGTATAACGGAAACGGCGTACCGGTTCGCGACAAGGCGCATAGTTCCGGTCCGATCGCTGGAGCCTCGACTGCGGTGAGACCGTCCCCTCTCCGAGGGTACAAAAGTCGACTCTACAGCGCGTCGGCGATAGCCTCCAGGATGGCAAACGTTGCGACGCGGGACGGGACAGTCACGTCGCGCAAAAATTTAAAAATAATGAATTTGGTATCCAACAGATGGTTTTACCGTTGCGCTTTTTCAAACATGATTTAAACACATAATTAATGCTAAAATCAAACAATATAATATTTTCCGTCACACAAATGCGTTTTATAAATCTGTTTTAGAAATACATTATTATTTTTCGAATTTTGAGAAGTTATGAAAAGTCGTTTTATTTTTATTAATTCTTTCTATTGCATTGATGCATGGAACTATATTTTAAGTCTAATGCTTTCGTCATAATGTTGTTTTCAAACTTTTTTTCGAATCCACCYGCATATATTCAACTATATTTTTAGTGCTAACAAATTTTTACGTTTCTTCTGTGCATCGTAAAGTATTCCAATACAAAATTAATTATCATCATGATGATAAACCATATATTATAACGTTATATTATCACAGACAGGCTTATATAATAATAATAATAATAATAATAACAGGACGTGATAGGTGTGCTCTGAAAGCTGAAGCATAATAATATATCTAATGCATTGGATTTAGGTACCTATATTAGATTACAGATAAAATTTCAGAACTACCACCGCACCAGGAATTGTAATTGAAAAACAGCTTTTGGATTATTRCTCTGTCGCTCCGGGAGATTAAATTTGAATAATTTAAATAGCCTTCTGCCGTTCACCCCTTTCCCATGGTCGAAAAATACATACTTTTTATGATTTTTGACCATTTTGAGCGTGTATATGAAATATGTATACGCCACCGCTATCGTCGTATATAACATTTGGTTTTGSAACGTGGTCGGGGGACCTTGTTACAATATTAGTTATCCAGGGAAGGTTTTCTATTCCTCATGGATAAGTTTTCCGTAGCTGGGGGTTAAAGCACTGTGTATTTTATCAATAATAAGACACAAAATAGATCCATATTAATTATTATATTAAAAATAATACTTTACTAAAGTAGATGGCTGTTTATAAGTGGATTGGTGAGTTCGCTCCTGTTGATGGTGACTGTCGAACTAACTGCTGTGTGTCATTTTAATAATAAGTTATTATGTGCATGAGTAGAAAAGTGTTGAGTGTGTATATTATGTATTGGTCAATCATATAGTGTRTATTAAGTGTGGKTAAAATATTTATATACAGTGTGATCACGCTAAGAGGTACCACTAAATATTTCAAAACGATGACCTTGTATTGAAATGGGGTTTTCACTGAATGAAAGATAGTACTTAAATACACATTTATTTATGATTTTCAAATTTTTAACACTTTTAGTATGCTTATGCGCAATACAACTTATATTTTTTTTAATGGAAACACTACTTTTTTCTACAAATTTGGATAGATTATTTTTTTTAAATGTTTTTTGTATTTAAAGTTTTTTTTCAATTTACAAAACTGACAAAGTTATTATAGAAGTCGACCTTTGAGTTTTTGAATAATTTTAAACGGAATGTTCTTATAATGACTGGAAATAAAAAAAAATAGTGCCAAATTAATACTTAATTTACCTTATCTGTTTATAAATAATWATTTAATACTATCGTACGTCATCCTGATGGATATCCCGAGTATCTGTGTGATATAATTTTTGTTTAGTAAACTGCTATAATACGATTACAATTTTAACTAKTTTTATAGTTGAATTTTATTTTATTTTTTAATAGTTCTAATAACGATAAGATAATCAGATAATGTAACTATTAAGATATTTTGTTTAAAGAAAAAGATCATTTTGGTTTTATTCTTTAACTAGACCCATACCAAAGTTTATGTGATATTCGTGTAATATCTGCATGTCATGCACAGTATTGTTTTACCATTTTTTTTTTTTTCTTTTACCTATATTCGACTGAGAACAGTGAAAATAATATTAATTCAACCGCATCACGATTGCCGTGGTATTCAGCAACGAAAAGGTGTAACAATTCTTAAGGAAGTTTATTTGTTGTATTAACTTATTTTTTTAAATTTCAGTTATACAAAATTATAATAATAACACGTAAATAATACTACTGAAATAATAATGTATTAAATATTACTCGTTTATCGAAATAAAATTGATTTTGTCACACTGTTCTCGATATCAAAACATTTTCCTTGCCTTTCAGTGGAAATTGTTGTTTGTAGTCACGGGTATGATAATATAATTAGATTTTGTTGCTTTGATTCTTTTTTACGTTTTCGCCGAATCAAAAAACTGTTTTCTTGTATTAMTATATTATTTTTTTTGTTTTTACTCTTCTAGTGAACTACTTTTCATAACATTATTATTAAGTCGACGAAAAATAATATTATTACATTAGAATATGACAAAATATGTATTATTCATGATATTATTTTATAGCCTCGCGTGTTGTACCTTATTTGGAAGACAATGTACACAATGTTGTATTTTTTAATTCTAACTTTTAATGAAACTCTATTGACGATAAAATATGTATAGCTACTAATTTTAGTTTATACACAACGAAATTCGAAAATATTTGGTATCAAGGTATTTAAGTGTTTGATAAAAAAAAAAATAATAACAACAAAATAATGCAACTACCCATCGTGATGTTTATAAATTAAAAAATAAATACTATTAAAGTTAATTTTTTAAAAAAGTAATGAATTCGATAGCACAATAATTMTGATATTTTTTAATTTTTAATATTTACCAAATTTTAGGATTAAACTTCAAAACGAGTTCATGAATCCTTACACGATATACACATAGGTAAAGCTTTTGTTTTTATAATTTGCATTAGTCGGATTGACATGTGGGTCTACTGCAACCACCCATATAATAGCAWTAACGCCATAAATATTGAAAGTACCTACAACAGTTATCGTGCCCGTCCAACTATCCAAATTTTCATCTTTTTGAAATATGAACCTGTTATAGCGGCGCAGGTAGAGTTATTTACAATATACAATATACAATCATAGGCGTGCGCAGGAATTTTTCACAGGGTGTGCAGAATTATTCTAGTAGGGGTTACTTGGCCTACTGCAATTCGGTAAGATAAATACTGTCTCAATATAATAATTAATTTTAATTTTAAAATAAAATGATTAATAGTTTACATATTATAGTCATATTACATATTATTATACAACTAGCATTTACATTTATATTTTATAATGGTAATCTTCTTTGTATTGGTGTTAGTGTTTTAAACTCATCAATAATTTCCTCCATATCTAAAGATTTTGCAATTTCCTGTTCAACAAAAATTGTAAGTAAGGCATCTAACTTTTCTTGAGCCATTGTACTTCTTAATTTATTTTTAACTATTGCCATTTTTGAAAAAGCTCTTTCACAAGAGCAACTAGTGACTGGTATGGCAGTAAATTCTTGTAGAACTTTTAATATATTTTCAAAAGTTCTCATTCGGTCTGTTCCATCTTTAGTTATCCAACTCAACCACTGAGTTATTGTACTATTATTACTTCCTCTTGGAATGTCATATATTTGTGTAAACAGTCTGACTTCAGTGTCGAGTTGATCAAAAGATAAACCAAATGTATCAGAAATAGTTTGTAGATGTTTTTTTTCTATTACTAGTTTTAGTAAGTTACCAACACTATCAATTAAATTTAATGTATCTTGACTGAAACGAACTTTGATGCTGGTGATTGATCACACATCAACAACGAGTCATCCGTGCAGTCTGTATTTTTAACACTACACATTGGATCATCTGGATTATTTGTARGAACATTAATATGAGAAAATGTATTATCTAAAATAAAATTTGTAATTAAATGCATTTAGTATTTTCATAAAATTGTTCTTACCTTGTTTTTCTTTGGGATTGAAAAAATTCAACAATGTGTTTTGTTTTTTTGAAGTCATATCAATTATAAATTATAATATAATTTCAAATATTACGATTTAACTATTTAAGAATTAAGATTCAGACATACAGTATATTAATCATAGCACAGAATAAAATTTACATGTCTATGATATTAATCGTTATTATTTTATAAATTTAAAACCAGATAACTGATAAGTGATAAACACAAAAAAATGGAGGGAAACACTATCAATCAAAAATTCTAGTACCAAAATTCGTAGTTAAATCTTTGACCACGGTCATGAACATAATACCAAATAATACTACAATCGATTAGGTATTGCGTTATTTCGATGAACGGATTACTATTTGTGTAATTGACAATTGTGTATTATACATAATAATGTTATATATTATATCTAATATGATACAGAATATATTATACCAACTCTCAATAATCAGTTTTAAATAATTAAACAATGTTTCATCAACAATTTAAAGTAGGCACACATTTTTGCAGGGTGTGCAGCTGCACACCCTACACACCCCGTGCGCACGCCTATGTATACAATATATATATTTAGGAATATATAATATTATGTTTTTAATGTCTCCACGTAATGTATTTTGAACACGTACTTTTGAATGTTTTAAACGGACATGTTTATGTTTTTTTTTTTATTTGATGCACACGACTCCAGAGAAATTGAGAAATTGAGAAAGTACAAATAGGTAGGTAGGTACCTATACAAAACATTGTTTTTGCGATATATATAAACGCTCGTGATGCAGTCGTATACCGACTGAGCAATAATAATTATAGTCCAACGATGTATAGGCATCTTGTTTGTGTTGTAACTTTAGGCGCATTGGTGGGCAGTGGGAACTATAATATAATATAAAAATATAATGCTAGATAATAAATTTAGAGGATGCCCCGTAACCATGACTTCAATTCTAAAATGTGAGGGACCTGATGTGCGCAGACCAAAACTACATTCATTTATATAATAGAACGATAGTGTTTTTTTATCAAAAACACAAGGGTTTTATATCTGTGACGTTGTGGTTTTTATAATATTTTTTTATTGGTAACACAATAACGTTGATTTTCAAACAGTCAATCATATGTGATCATTTTTCAGTTATTTTTCAATTAGGTATGAGATCGGTTGTTGAAAAAAATAAAAATGCAACATCACGGATCAGATCACCTTTTATTTATATAATATATTTTGATGATGAAAATGTGGTGTTTTCTATTGTAATACAAATTAGTTATTGAATGTAAATTTTTGATGGTAAGTCCAAAAAAATATTTTTTTAATAAATTTAAAATAATATAAAGGGTAAGGGAAGACTTGGATAGGAAATTTTCCCAATTCTTCACGGATCACAGGATGAGGTGGGTAATTTTTCGATTAAATAACAGGGCGTCGTTCGATTGCGTCCCGTTTAAACCTTTTATACCTTTTCAGTGTGTCGATTGGACACATACTAGTTGCGGACGAAATTATTAAGGTCAATATTGTAACATAACAATTTATTGCGGACACGAGTTTCGTTATCGTAGTACTAGTTGCGTACAGAGTTTTTTTCTCAAACACATTTCTCAAATCAGGTGAGTTGCGGACACAAATATTTCCCTTCAACACTTTCTCAGGACTTAGGATAAGCTACCAAAAAGTTGGTAGGTGGGGTTAAAAATATTTGTGTCTTGTAAAAGAGCAATCGTTATTATTAAAATGTTGTTAAATTATTTAATGTTTTAATTTTGTAGCAAAAATAGTTTATAAAACACTTATAGATTATCGTCATAGTATTTATAGATCTTTTGGTAAAATTTTTTTTGAAACAGCCTATATATATATGATATTCTACTGATTTCACCACGTGAATATTGCAAAATTTGATTGCTAATAAATGCCTCCTTTTCAACAGTTATTTTTGCTCGTTTTAAATTTCGCACTGCAGAACAATTCATTTTCGTATAGCATTTTCGTCTGTACTTCATTTAGGGCCTCGATCAATTGATATATATTAGGGAGACTTAAAAATAATAATAGGTAATTTGTCCGCAATTAGTATCTTATATTTGTGTCCGCAATTCGTATGTTACTTTTTTAGATTTCGTCCGCAACTCACATGTTTTTACGGTTTTTGTCCGCAATTCGGAAACACCGTGTCGATTGCGTCCACAAGTCGGACAGGTAAATTATAATTTCTTACCTTTTCATGTTCCGATTGCGTCCTATTGTATAATAAATAATATGTATTAAATTACACTATTTTAATATTTTAATTTTTTGATTATTAAAGAACTCAAAAAATACATATCTAGTCAGTCGTCAGAATTAAAAAATAATAAATACACAAAAATCAATAAAAAAAGTCCAAATAATTTAAATAATACATAATATCTAGTCAGTCGTCAGAGTTAATTGGAAGTTTGATTGTGTATCACATTGTATTTTTATTTTACTTAAGTTTCCGACTTTTTTACTATGGACATTTTTACCTCAGATTTTAGTATACCAAATTATATATATATATGTAATATCACTATGAATGCTAATAATACTATATTATAATTAAAAATTACTATTCTGCTTACCATCTTAGTTTATTTGACTGTGTATCAATGTTGCTGGTCTTAAAGTAATACCTTCAGTTGCTTTTCGTTTTAAATTGTTTCGAATACTTTGTCTCTTTAATAATTCAGAAGAATCCGGCAATGACAATGATTAGTTAGGTTACTTTCATTTTCTAATAACACTGATCCACTCCTCTTAAAATAACACTTGCATTTCTTATTTGTGCAACTCCAACGTTCCACATCATTGGCCAACATTTTGTGGAAACGATATTTAAATTTATTAATAATTCATATTTCTTTATTTTTTTCACTAAAAATTGTATTCATTATGACTGCAATATTATAACTAGGGTTAGGATGTTTATGATTTTTGCATATTTTTTCTTTTAGTCGTGCACTTTGCAGACCAAGTTATAAATTTGTTTTGTGTGGCATAGAATCAGATACATTAAATTTTATTTTGCATATTTAATGATTTTTATGAATAAATGCATATTTTGAAAAAAATTGTAAATCAATGCGGGCGGGACCCGTTTCGCCCAAAAATGACCATCTCCGTTTCGCCCRGGTACCCGTTTTGCCCAAATTTTATTTTTATGTGATTTCCGTTTCGCCCAGAGTAGTTTAGATCAATTTAAAATTAAGTTGGCAATATTTGAGTATCATTTAGCGTTATTTGAACCAAAATTGTACTTATAATTATTATAAATATTATCTTTGTTTCTTTTACTTATTAAAAACACAGCCATTTTAATAAAATTTGTGATATGTTTACACGGCATGTAACAATACGCACTACGATCAAATCTGATAATCTTTTTTGTTCATTACTTTTATAAGTTTTAAGTATGTAATTTTTTGTATGGTTATGTACTTACTTTTTATATTAGATAAGATAAGCGAGCAAGCTACGGTGATGATGCAGCGCATTCATAAATTCGTAAGCATCATATTTTCGGTACGCTTTATAGATTTTGATCGATTTCAGTTCGATAACGACTGGATTTCTTATCTGTTATCAATTTGATATATTATAATTTATAAACGATATTTCTTTTGGTTTTAATTTCTTAACTCAATTACCGTAATTTTATTACTAAAGGTTTTATAACGTTCCCTAAAATATAATATTTGATTGAACTATTGCCAACTTAATTTTAAATTGGTCTATACTACTCTGGGCAAAACGACAATCGTATAAAAACAAAATTTGGACGAAACGGGTACCCGGGCCAAACGGGGACGGTCGTGTTTGGGCGAAACGGGCTATGCCCATCAATGCATATTTGGCCAAAACTATAGTAAATAAATGCATATTTCGCCAAAAAATAACTTAAATACAATATAAACCTCAATAAAAACCCAAAGGTAGGCACAGTTAGTTTCACATTTAACGAAAATGAGAAAATATGAAACCCGTAGTATATAATCAACTTATCTTTATTACTTACATGTTTTTAATTTCAAAATATCATATTTTTATTTATTTGTATTTAAGTTTAAAGTTATAAAAAAAGTTGTAAATTAATTTTAAATATACGTTTCGGATTAGAAATAAAATTTTAAAATGTCATGTTTAATTTTTTTTAAGAGCATATTTTGATATTTATTGTGCATATTTGCATGCATTTTTTAGTATTTTTAAGGTCATAAACATCCTAACCCTAATTATAACACTAATACACTATAATATATCTTGCGACTAAAGCACTTTCTGACGTACTGAGTAGATGGATCGATCGTAAATCGATGACCAGCCTTATCTTGTCAATTTTRCGCTTACCTACTAAACAATAGGACGCAATTGGAACACAGAAAATGTAGGGAAAAAATCGTTTACCTGTGTCCGGGACTCAATCGACGAACTCCGAAATAACAAAGTTGTACATCATTCAAATCCCCCCCTAGGTATTTATATCCTCTTACCTCATTTACAGTTAATTATTTGTAATTTATAGTGTGGTACATTCTGGTTAAAACAAAACTTCTTTATACTATCACAATTATGGTTATGCAGGTTATCATTAGGATCATAGGAAGTAGAACTAGATAGATTTCAATATTTAATTTAATTTTTATTACATATTATCATTATTTTAATTAAAATTTTTTTTTTACTATAAAATATTTTGATTAATTATTTAATAACCTGGGTAAAAATAAAAATAAAAATAAATAATACAGTAAGTAACCTGATTTAATTATGGGAATAGTTGAATAGTATAGGGAACTACGTCAAAAGTAATAACCTTTATAATAATTTAATGTGATAACAATAAGCTTTTAATATAATAAAGAAAAAACTTGAATCATAAATTTTCTTCTCGTGTCATGCACACCATACAAT